CCCGGAAAACACGAAAACAAATTTCTTCAATCTCAGCCCAAAATCAACGAATCATCAGTCCACAAATGAGTGTATGAACTCACTTTCAACAAATCACAGCCAAAACTAGCTTCCCTTATCTCGGCACGACGAATCCGAGCTCCGGGAAGAGAAGAACAAGAAGAAGAAGAGAATTCCGCTCACGGCTAGCTCCGGATGGCTTCAAGATTGTGAGAAAGGACCTCCAGATCACTCACGGCTTCAGCTATAAGGAAAAGAAATCAGCCACAAGGTTGAGAGAATTTTCAAGGAAGAAGAGAGTTCTTGAGTGAGTGAGAAGAGAGTTGGGGAAGAAAGAAAAACGGAAATGGGGTCTCACATCATGGGCTGTAACAATGTTGATCATATGACATTCATGGTTTCTTAGGATTTAAAAAAATACACGTGTCACAGATATCGCTATAACCCATAACGACACTATAATAAAATACTTCAAAAGTATAAATAATTTTAAAATAACTCTACTTACATAAATAATTTAAAAAGTACCTTGGTCAATCAACCTCAGTATCTAAATCCAAGTTACATATTGGTTCTTGGCAGCTATTAACCCATTCACATTCAAAATACCCTTCAATCATGCCTCATCTTTGTCTATGTTTGTCTTACAGTCCTTCACCTCATTTCCTCGTTGGTTCAATCCGATAATTATATCATCCACGTGGATACGCATTAGCCATGCCCAAAGCATTTGCTACCCAACACGGTTGGTATATTTCCACCCTTTCCTCTGCATTAGAAAATGCTCAAGTTACCACCAATGGCAATAATCTCAAAACCGTTTCTTCTAAGTTGATTTATACATACACCAACGCATGAACGGTTTTAGTGCAAATTTGTCACCCAGAGAGTTTGAGGCTCTTAAAAGATCTCCAGGTTACATTTCTTCCATACCATATTTGCCAACCAAGCTTGATACAACACATTCATCTCAATTCCCTTGCCTCAATCCCAATAAGGGGGCTTGGCTTACAGTTCTAGAGGACCATCAAATAGCATGCCCTCACGTGACAGGTGTGGGAGCAATGTTAAGAGCAGCACACCTCGATTGGAGCGTTGCAGCCATTAGGTCAGCCATCATGACAACATCAGACATTTTCGACAACACCATGGGACTCATCAAAGACATTGGTGATGATTACAAACCACCCTTTCCTTTAACCTCGGGAGCTGATCATATCAACCCCAACAAAGCCCTTCATCCTGGACTTGTTTACTCGTGGGAGTACAATATTATGTCAATCTTCTCTGTGCTCTAAACTTCACTCACCAGAACATCACCACCCTCAGGACAGACGTGAAACATGTAGTGAGGAGCCCCATTGTCGTCACTATTTGCTCTACTTAAATTTATAGATCAATACTGTATCGAGTGAAAAATGTATTTAGTAATAAATTGTTGTTTCTCATTTGACTAGATATAAGTTGATGACCTAATATTATACATACAAATTGATATGTCCTTTAATTTATACATATCATATAGGCATCAACTTAATCACGTAAGTTTTCTAAAGATTCACGGACACATCATCAATCAGTATCGGATTTACCTTAAATTTGTAGGGGGCTCTGGGAGAAGTTTTGAGTTCTTCAACACTTTAACTTAATACGTAAAACACAAAAAGGAAAGTGGCATTTGGTTTCGCCAGCTAGACTTTTGGTTAGTAAATTTTGCGACAGTCTCAACTATATATAAACCTCAGCATTTAAGATTTTATGGACATTGCTTCTAATTTTTGTATACAGGACAATTGCTTTTGTAATAGTTTTGGTTGATGGACTGATATTTTATTAAGAAACAAGTCAAAAATAAATTGAGCTATTAAACATGTAATGGGCTTGCTGGATGGTGGAGTTTCATATCATTAAACAAATACAATACAATAAAAGAAAAACAAATTTTAGTCCAGGAAATAAAGTTAAAGGAACAAGCATTTAGTTCTTGGACGGCCCAATTTAGAAGAAATTAAAGCAATAAAAAGAAACAAGTATTTGGATTCGTACAAATTTGAAAGAAAATGTTTTTGTCGTAGTGAGAGAGGGAATACAGAACAAAATAGTCGCTATTAGAAACGGACTGCTACTTTTTCAAGTTTCTAGAAAAGATATTAAGAAACAATTAAGAAAAATGATCACAAGGATTAATCTTTATTTGCGTCTAATTTTCTATATCTGAATTGTTTAGATACAGAAAGAGTTGCTTTTAGAGGCAGAATATACCGTCTCTACGAGAATTAAATTTATTTGAAAATAAATTATTTTATCAACTAATTAAAAATAATCATAAACGTAAATTTGGTGTATTCATTTAGAATTTTAACAGTTTTATGATGCATGACAATATATGATTAGATGACTACATAAAAACAAAAATATTTAGATCGTCAATGCATTTAATAGTAAATATTTTCTAATCTTGATAATGGTTAAAAATATCTATCACAATATAAATTATTTTTTATAAATCTAAAATATAATTTATATGTTAAAAATTATCCATATATTATAAATATTAATTATAATATAATTATATATTTAAAATATTTATTTATTATAAATTTTAGGCTTAATTTAAATTCTGGTCCCCTTATTTTGAAATTTTCGTAATTTATGTCTTTTTATTTTAAAATTGCAACATTTAGTTTCTACTTTTATAAAATTTACAATTTTAGTTTCTTATTAAATTGTCTAGAAATGTAACCTATTATAATGTGTCATAAGCTATTATGACGTGGTGTAAGATAATTGATTAAAACATTAAAAATAATTAAAAAATAAACCAATAACATACTTTGTCAACACTAAAATCAACAAATAATTCAATATTTCAAGATCTAAAGTTAGTTAGTATTTGAGGTGAAATTTGTTTATGAATTCTTTTATTTGAACTAACAATATTTTTAATTTAGGTATGTATATTAAGCAGTTTTTCTTATGTCTCTTACTTTTGTTCATTATTAATGTATACAATAAGTTTTCCGAAATGAAATTTATACATATCAATGGTAAAAAATCAAGTAAGTTAAACTAGTCGAGGTCTAATTTTATGTGATTTAGCATGCAAAGATTTCTAAATGTGCTTTGATGATTATCATGAAACGAGATTCATGTACATAGACATTTAAATGAATCGAATGAACAACATATATATTGCTAATAGAAATCATAATTTGTTTGCTTCCAATAATTATTGAATTACAATGCATAAGGATTCTGAGAAGCAACAAAACTATAATACTACACTATATTAATTAGGCTAGAATTACTCTGAGAAAAGAAAAGAAAAAGGTTGACCAAAAAATCGTACTCAGCAATCTTGTGCACGGAAATTATGGATGCAGGCAGTGGATGAATGTGAACATGTAAGTATTGAATTTCTGGCCTTTTAGATTGAGCATTGCCTATCTATTTATAGGAAGATCGAAATAACAGTTGGATTCATCGTGCCATTAATAATCGTCCTATTCTTTTAAACATGCATTATCTTTTTAACCGCCTCTAACTTTCTCGATAACCGTCTTTCGATCATCGATCACTTCCTTTTTGAAATGCATAACCATTATTTTTTTAGAGTTAGTTACTATATGTGAGTTCCACGTAGATCATAATTGTCCCGTGATTTAGGTCATATAAGTAACTTCCTTTAAATCGTTCGAGAGTGCTTCGTAATCACTTGAGTGAGTATCGAAATATTAGTTTTGGAGTTTGAGAGTTGTGCTCGTGATATTTTACTCCTCCATTATTTCACGTCATAAGTGTCTCATCAATGGTTGGGACCTAATCTCCTTTCGATCATCAAATTTTACTCCTAAAATTAGTATTTACAAAAATACTTTAACATTAAAATCAAATTATATTAGAGTAGCAAAGTTATATTAAATATTTACTTGTTAGAGTGGTGTTATAGTATATCCAAGAATAAAATATGAATTGAATTCCTTGACACGACCTATAACTTATTGCAACTAATAACACTATCTTAGTATAGGAACTTAATAAGTCTACCCAATGTTAACATAATGTTCACAAGCATAGATGAGTTTTCATGTTGCTAATACTAACCTTAGTCAACACATAATTTTGGATTATCATATTATTTAGAACCTAATAATATCATAGTATGAATTGGGCTTGAGCCCAATCTATTACAAGTACACGTGTTATTGGTATACAGTGAGTATCGTTGTTGTATAGAATTGAATGGCTTTTAAATTTATACGAAGGTTAATGGAATCTGTGCGCGTGTCCAAGTGAGAGTACTGAGCGCGTACGTGTATTGGTATGCAGTGATACTGTAGAGTGTAGAGACAGACCCTCCTGGTGTGTGTTGTGTTGCGCACATATTGATAGAATGCACGCGTAGACTTGTACTTGTCTTTCTTAATTAATCAAACTTCATTCTAAACATAAAATCGTAATTCGATAAAGATCGACTTAATATAAAAAAGTTATTTTTTAAAAAATTAAAATATTATTTTTTAGTCTATATAATTTAAAGTAAACTTTTTTATTCCTAAGAAAATAAGTTAAGAATTTAGTCTACTTATGCTATTAGAGAAAAATTAATGTGTTATTAAATAAATTTTATAATTATATATGTTTTTAGTCTTTAAATTTTTTTGTTGACTTTAGTCTTTAAACAAATTTTTATTAGTTTTAATTTGTGAACTTTTATTGATTTTTACTTTTAGTCTTTAAATTTTTCTTTCTGTTAATATTTTGATCCTTGATGTCAAATTTCTTTATTCATAAAAACAAATTTCAAGAACTAAAACCTAATAAAATTTGTTTAGAAACTAAAAATATAAATTGACAAAAATTCAGAAATTAAAAACATTTAATCTTAAATTTTGTGTCAATAAGAGACTAAATAAATTATTATTTTTTATGCAATTAAATAAATTATAGTTAACAACTCAAATTAAATTCTTCCACAAGAAACTTATAGAGCTATAAAATACGAGTAAAAATTGGAGCATATCAACGTTATTTGCGGAATCATAGAAAACCACGTTTGTCAAGTGAGAAATGACTATTATTTTCCATGGAAAATTTCTTTAGTTAATATACATTTTTCACTTGATTCATATGGAAAACACATATCTATGACAGTATATTGATCTAGAATTCGAATCTAATGGTGGTGACCACAATGGGGCTTCTAACCACATGCTTCACGTCCGTCCAACTGAGATACCCAAAAGCCACACTCTTCTCTTTCCTATTTCTTGGACCTTCAATTCTCAACTTGTAACTTAGCTTCTCATTCTTCTCCTTGAACTCCAACTTGTTAGGGAAGACGCTAACGTGGTACCCTCTCACAGATGTAATGCTCGCAACATAGATTGTTTGCCCCTCCCCAACATTGGTCACCGTTCTCTTAAATTCCCGAGCTTCCCTCGAACCATTGCCTTGGAAGAAAGCAATGAAAGAAGGGTAGTTGAGGTCCAAAGAGGGTTTGGAACAATCATTGGAGGAGGTTCTGGTGATGGCAGTGATGTTCTTTTGGGTGTAGCCAAGTGCGCAGAGGAGGTTAACATAATCTTGTGTTCCCGCGTCGTAGATGAGTCCAGGGTCAAGGGCTCTATTAGGGTTGACATGACCAGCTCCCATGGCCAAAGGAGAGGCTGGTTTGTAATCATCACCAACGTCTTTGATGAGTCCCATGGTGTTGTCCAACATATCCGATGTTGTCATGATGGCTGACCTAATGGCTGCAACGCTCCATCCAGGGTGTGCTCCTCTCAACAGTGCTGCTATGCCAGCAACATGGGGGCATGCCATGGATGTGCCACTTAGTAAGTTGAAGTTGCTGAAAACGTTTATGGAACCGAACACTTCCGCAGGAACATTTTGAGGCCATGCAGCTAGGATTGATGAGCCAGGAGCAGTTATGTCCGGTTTCAACACAAATGGACAACTACTTGAAGGACCTCGAGAACTGTAACTATCCACACTCGGTGCTGGGGTAGCACCCAACAGCGTCTTCTTAAAGGACATGCTTGCTTTTGCACTATTAGCAGTACTATTACTAATGTAAGCTTTGACGATTTCCCCGTTTGTAGGAGTGACAATAATAGATGCAAACCTATTATCCAACAAAAAAGAATCGGAGTCGTTTGATATGAACACTGCCGCCACAACATTTGCCTTATCCACATTGGACACTTGATCAAAGACCGTTCCATTCTTGTCCTCACACACCACAATCTTGCTCCTCACTTTCACAAGCTTCTTCACTTTGTCGCACGAGCCCATGAAAACAATTGGCACGTGGCTGGGAGTGAAGTTTCCGTGGTAGAGAGACATGCCATCTATTTCTACTCCATTGTCGAGTCTAAGAGTCCCGTGAAATTCACGGTCCATAGTGCCAGCAGCCACGGTTATGACCCATGGTATTCCGTTATGCAAAGTTCCAAGGAAAGGTCCTTCGTTTCCTGCTGACGTGGACACAAAAATCCCTCTCTCCACGGCTGCAAACGTGGCTATAGCAACAGGATCCTCGTACAAAGCTAAACCGTCGAGGCCAAATGACAAGGAAAGAACATCCACACCATCTGATATTGCACTATCGATTGCAGCTATTATATCAGACGTGTAACCTCCTTCTTCCCACAAAGCCTTGTACATTGCCACTCTCGCACCTGAAGCTATTCCTCTTGCTGATCCTGTCGCATAACCAAAATACGATGCACCCTCAACCACGCTCCCAGCTGCGGTGGTCGACGTGTGAGTCCCGTGACCCTCGGTGTCACGTGTTGAGTTCAATGTGGTAACGTTGGGGTGCTTTGCCAGCAACCCTTTGTTAAAGAACCGCGCTCCAATGAGTTTCTTGTTGCATTTGATGCTACTTTCGCATTGGCCTTTCCACCGCGAAGGAATCTCGGTGATTCCCTCGTCTCTGAAGCTTTCACTTTCTGGCCAAACTCCTGTGTCCACCAAACCAACGATGACATCTTTTCCAAACTCCGCCACCCGCCACGCCCCTTGGTTCGCGTTGAGGCCAAGGAAGTGTGGACAGTGCGTTGTGTCACGCTTGGCTGGTGAGTCTCGCATGCATGAAACGTAGCCCGTGGTGGTTTTGATAGCTTCGAGTTCTTTCGGTGACAAGTTGGCACTGAAACCGTTCATGACATTTGTGTAGGTGTAAATGAGCTTAGAACTAGAAGTGGCAATGACGTTGAGGTTGTCGGGGGTGGCTTTGGAATTGTCTAGTGCTGAAGAGAGAGCGGAGAGGTACCAAGCGTGTTGGGTAGAGAATGCTTTGGGCATGGCTGATATGTCCATGTGGATGATGTAGTTATCTGACTGAGCCAACGTGGAAATAATTTGAAGGGTTGTGATGTAGAAGAAAGAGAGAGAGAGAGAAATATGGGTAGCCATGGTTGAATTAATGTGAATAATGGGTATAGAGGAACAATGTGTATAAATAGGAAAGGCCAAGGTGTATATTAATTTGTAAACTTCATTAACCTCCTCCATCACTTGCGAGAGATTCTCCACGCTCAAAAAATCATCTATCTATCTATCCCAAAGGTATCTTCTCATGGGACCCCGGTCCCCCCAATGATTAAGGAGCATTTTGGACACCTTTGTTTGCAAGGCTCATTCATTCAACAACCATACAACTTTTCACGTTATTGCTTGCTTGGTCCATATCCGACCATACCGCGTGTATGTAGTGTCCACACAAATATTGATTCCTTTTTCCAGACTTAATTTTTAAAAATAATAATATATTTTTATAAACATTCCATAAGAATTTTTTGTGTAGCCATTAATGAATAAAAAGATGTGATAATATTATTTAATTTATGTGTAAAAATATTTCAATTATAATCGTGTAATTAAATAAATTAAATTACCCTAAAAATGGATAAATTTAGGAACATTTACAATTTATATTGACGAGGTCGTACACGGTGTGTCTGTATTCTGCATACTTTTCCAACTCGGCGTGATGGTTAGAAACTAGAAAGTGATAGGTTCAAGCTTCGCTTACTTGAACTGTTATTATACGAATTAATTATGAAGTTACACTGTCTTGGCAGTATGTCAATATCGTCATCAATTTTCTATCTATTTCCTTGAGCACCTCCCATTGACAAATATGCTTTTCAATATCTCTATTTTCGTTGATTGAAGAAGGGGTAATAAATTAATGAAATGGTTGCACATGCATCTATCTACATTTAAGGTCCATGTGCTAGGAATAGGATGATATATTCGGTGATTAATATCCACTCGGTGTATAATTCAGTACGAAAAACATGCTAACTTAATGTCTTTCTGAGACTAATACATTCCCGTTTCTGTCACGGTAACCGCATTAGGGTAGCTAGGAATCTTCTCGAAAATTACAAGGTGTATCACTGCATACTCTCTAATGATTTTTTTAAAAAATTTGAGTTGGCTCTATATAAATAAAAGTTTATGTCATTATGTTTATAGAACTGTTTTATTTTATAATTAATAAATAAGTTCGTTTACTATGTTCTAAAACATGCAGTTTGTATACTTTGTAATTAGGAAAAAAAAAAAAGATAATAATGAAAGAAGTAGAGGACAAATTAAGGGATGGTGAACGATGACAAAAAAGCGAGTACGTACGAGAGATGACAACAACGAGGCAATTAAGACCCAATTCTACCATTAAACATAACATTCTCTCTTTTGACAAGAAAAAAAAAATACTTATAAATAGATATAAATTTCAAAACATCCCTTAATTTGATATAGATTTTGGTGCTCAATTATGGTTGTGAAGCCCAATAAGTAATTAGTAGTATATATGCTCTTACTAGTTCCGGAAGCCTTCTTGACTTTGGATGCTTGTTGAAAGTAACACGGATGAATGTGAAATTAAGGATGGTGTATAGAGAATAAAATATAAATTTTGGACACTACATGTTATTCTTCTGACAGTTACAAAAACTTTGCTATACATGCAAATTTTTACTTTAATGAAAATCTCACAATATTGAAAATGTTAGAAGCTGTTTAGTTTTTAAAAAAACATTTTTTATTTTTTGAAAATAATTTTCATCTTCAAAATTTGAAATTTAGAAATCATGTTTAGTTTAACTTTTCATTTTCTAAGTTTTGAAAATCAAAACATTAAAAATGTGTTTGTTTAAATATTTTCAATAATTCTAAAATTAATGAATAGATGTTTAAAAATTAAACAATTAATATTAAAAATATTTAACATGTTTAATAATGAATAATGTTTACAATAGTAGTTGAAATTTAATAATTTTGAGAAATAAAATAATATTTTAAAAATTTTATCTACTAGTAGCCAAAGTGAATATGCTAAAAGTAACTGCACAAAAAGCTTATTATATAACCATTTATTTAATTGTTTTAAAAATGTGTTATATAGGTTTATCTTTTTTTTATTTTTTTTTCAAACGAATTGAATTAACAAATCTATATGAATAAATAAAGAGAGAAATGATACGGCTATACAGTTTTTGTCTTATCTAAAACGGTTTTCCTCTCCAACTCATGTGAAGAAAATAGAATCTGAAAATAATCATAATTATGACCATGCCACTGTATTTTCACTAAAATTGAAAATAGTAAAAACGACTTTTCCGTGTTTTCACTTTTAGGCTTATTTTAGAAACAAAAAAATTCAAAGAAAATATTTTCAAATATCTAACTAAACATGTTTTTTTTTTCAACACCAAAAAAAAAACATGTTTTTCACATTATTTTCTATTTTCAATGAAAACGAAAACAGAAAATAGGTAAACCAAATAGTTCCTTAATTTTTCATGATTTGTTTGTTATTTAAAAAATAATATTTATACAAAAACATTGTTTTTTATAATAATTTTTACATGTATTTTTCACATAATTGTTCCAATAGAAGAAATGGAAAACTAACATTTATAAATTAACAATAAAGTTTTAATAAGGTAAAGAATTTAGCATAACATAAATATCACTTCAACTTCACTTCTAAGTCGATATAGTGATTTTATATTTTTAATTTAAAAACGAGAAAAGATGTTAATATAAATATGGTGATAAATTGAATGTGATAAATCCATGTTAAGAAGATATGAATTGAATTGATGTCATAATCGTAGCTCACTGTAATAGCTATAGATAGACCTTTAAATAATATCTAAAGCACCACTTGCATGTGTGTATTTATTTTTTGACAACCTTTTCTTTTCGTCATGTTTGGACAGTCTTGAGAATTATTGAAGAGATCGATTTACACTCTACGCTAGGAGTGGCAAAAAAAAAAAATTGAATTGAACTAAATTGGTGGTGAACTAAACTGAATTATACTATAAAAAATTGCATTATTTGTAAAAAAATAAATTAAATTGTTTAAAAAAACTGAAGTTAACTGAACTATTAGAAAGTTAATTATAGTAAACTATAAAATTGAACTGAATTATAAAAAGTGAACTATTTTTATAAAAGGATAAAAATTAAATGTGTGTAACATGTTATGACTTAATAGATTAACTCGATAGTCTAATAACCAAAACTTTAGAAAAAAAATGATAAAAAAATTGTATCAATTTTATCGAACCTAAGGATCAATTAAGCTATGTTGGACTACTTATTTTTTGGCTTAAAATTCACTGAGTTTGTTTGACTTAATTTTATATTTTTTTTCTTTGAAAAATTTAAATAAAACGAAAAATAAAGTAAAGTTGAAAAATATGTCCTATTTTGATAGATCAATGAGTCAAAATTATTCGATTCAAAATATCATAACAGTTCAGTGCAGTTTAAATTGCAATTCAGTTCAAGTTTTTATAGTATAGTTAAGTTCAATTCAATGACACAAAAAAATAGTTCAGTTTAGTTCGTCTGAACTAATATTTAGTTATTAGTTCAGTTTGTTTGAACTAATATTAAGTTCAGTATAGTTTTTATAAGTTCAGTTCAGTTCATTTTGCCCACCCCTACTCTACGCAAATATTTAAGTGTGTTATTTTTTCATTTTCAGATGTTTTATAAAAAAAATGACTTTTTGAAAGAAAAAAAAAGTTTGTTGTTTGAGAAACCATCTAAAAGTTATAGACAGCTTTTTTTTTTTTTTTTTTACAAATTAAGTTATTTTTACGAATCTGAAATTTTGAAATTAATGATTATTTTTTAAACAATTTTTCATTTAAACCGATTTATTATATAAAAAGTAATTTTTATTGTTGTTTTTAAACAGAATTAAACATCTTAGTAAAATCACTTATGAACAAAATTATCTAAACGAAATTTCATTTTAATTATAATCAATTACAATATTAATTGATTATTACATAATTAATTATTAAAATAATATAATTTTCACACCTTTTTCAAATATACTATAATTCATTATAGAGGGCCGACGGAAGCTTCCCAAATTTTTTTTATTATGTATATATATTTTTTGACAAGAGGATAACATTCCCCATTTTTTTTTAATACGTATATGTAATATTTGATGTATCAAACTCCATATAATATTTATCAAATAAAATAAAAACAATTTTTGATGAATTAAAATAAAAATAAAATATCAACTTTTAAATTAAATTAAATAATTTAAATTAAAAAATTATGAATAAAATTATCATGTATTATTATTATTATTTATTTATATAATTATTATTGTTACTATTGTCATTATAACTATCATTATTATTATTTTCTCCAATATTTTTGCACCATTAATTCATTGTGACAAATATGGTTGTAGACTAGTTAATAATACCCTTACTTTAAGACCTCCTTCAAAACTAAATATTTTGTAGTAATATTTATATAATCTTTTAAAGTCTATAATCTAAAAGCCATTTCTTGTATTTTTAAAAATTCACTCTAAAAGATTCATTTCTAAAAAAATATAAAGACATAATTATTTTTTAAAAGTTTGACTCTGTGAGATCCGTGGTTTTTTCTCATCTCTCTCACTATCTTAACCTTCACTCTCATACTCTCTTCTTCCCTCCCTCTTGACCTTGTGCAAATTCTTCTTTTCCTTTGTTGTTCTAGGTGCTGAGTAGGTGGTGGGAACTTGTTGAGACTTCCTCTTCTCCATTCATTTTTTCTTCTCCTTCTCCTCCACTTCCTGGAACTTGAATTTCTTCTTCTTCGAGGTAAGGGAAGTTAGATTTCTTGCAGATTGTTTGGAATGAGTTTAGAAACTCAAATGTTGTTTGATTTCTGGAGATTGATGGTCAGATTTGATGAGTTGTGCATTTTTGGGATTTCGGGAAAATTGAGAAAAATGAGGATTTTTATACGTTTGATGGTTGCATGTTGAAAAAGAGATGGTTTTTGAGTTTTATGTTGTAAATGTAGTTCATTTGATGGATTTTATGTGTTTGAGCTGGTTGATTTTGCAGGTTTTGGGTGAAATTTCCGAAGTGGTGAGGGTTACTGTTTGAAATTGCACCGGGCGTGATTTGAAATGGGGAATCCCTGGATGAATGACGTCGGGCGT